ACACCATTATTGAAAAAGCAGATTACATATTAGAAGCAGGAGGTATCAAATGGCAAAAACAATACATGAGAATTGTTAACCACATACCTGTTGAATGTATAACGTAGTCATGGTGATAACATGGTTAACATATGAACACATCCCAATCTCTTCCACGTTAGCCAAATTCCTATGAAGACAACATAAAAACCACAGACATGTACACAGTGTACTATCTGAGCCTAGTTCAAACAATGTTTGTTTTACCATTCTGCATATAATCATACACAAGTATATCAGCATTTCAGAAATACTGCATGTCCTCAAATGTTTACTTCTGTCACAGTAACAGAGCTCACAAGTTTTTTTTTTCTAACGAGAAAGAAAAGAAAGGCTCAAGTTACTCTGTTGTAGGACAATTCCGTCTGGAATTTGGGGTTTCAGAGGTTAAGCAGATTCCCAGGACACTCTAAACAGAAAGCTCAGAAATGGCATCTGATAACAAAGACAATAACCTCCACTTCTCCCACATTTCTAGCACATACACTTTCTTAAACTTTAATAAACATATTACCTAGAAGCATTTATTCACTTTAAATTATCCCAAAGAAAACAAACATCTAAAATTATTTTAGAATATAAGGAAATCAACAGCAACAAAGAAATAGCATGCACATGTTATTTCTCAGTCTTGAGGACAAGTCACAAAGATCAGATATCAAAGTGATGATGTAAGGAGAACTTTTCAGCAATTAAAGAGGACTGACAACAGTTTGCAATTCACCACCATATTATATTTAATATTCCAGGATACTTCAACACTGCCCTACAGCCCTTTGTATGGTTTCAGGAGACATGAAGGGCTCAAAAAAAGCTGCTCCAAACACTCCTCAGAAAAGGAGATTCCCTGTTATATTTTACCCTCTTCCTCTCTTAATGCAGTTCACAACAGAAGACTGAAGAAACAGGGAGGAATAGATCCCTAAAAACAGTTTATTCACATGCTTCAAAAGAATCACAAAATAAGGCGTAAGTTTCAGAAGGAAGCCAGTTGCATTAATAGTGTAATAAGACAGTTTCCTAAGCTGTTTATGGAATTCTAAGCATGTAAAGAATGTGAAACAGTTCTTCCTGTACGATTCTCTCTCAAGTTATTTCATATCCAACAACTGTTAGATTGTGAAATTAAAAGTATTTCTTATACCAAGTACACCTTATCTTGAATTCTCATAGATATGTCTTATGTAATTACAAGGAATGTAGAGTCTAATCCCCTCCTATTCCATTTCTCATTACAAACATTATTGCCAAGATGATTGCATTGCTCCTCCCGCTCTCTTTTATTCCCTCTTCCTCTATTTTGAAGATTGTGAGAAGGGGCACGTCTCTATTTCTACTGGAAAGTGTCAAATCACATTGTGAGTGTCATTAGAATCTATATTTATAGGCTGCATCAAGATTTCTTAAATAAAACAACAGCCTTGCTGAGGTAACAATGGGAACAAATACCTGCAAAGGATGATAAAGAATTTCACAAGTAAAAGTGACAGAGCCTGTTGCTGCTCTTCTAATCCATCTGACATTTTCTGGACACACTGTAGCAGCTGGAGCCTGAGGACCTGAAGAATGTTATCAGGAAGCAGCGATATTCCTGGAGGAATGTCATCCACCCTAAAAAGAACCACCACACACAAAATTGTTAATCATGCAAATCACATATTACCAATCAATTTCAATGTGCTCATGTAGTGTTCCAATAAATCCCTGTAAGAAAGGTTACCAAACTGATGGCTCACAAACACTTTCTAACAAACCACAAGGAGATGCCTGGTGACAATAAGTCAGCTTGAGCTTCCTTTTCCCCAGCAATCAACTGCATTGAAAATAAGTGTTAAACATTAAGTGGATTCCTAAATCCTTCTCCATGCAATGATCCGTCTCAATTGCCAGAGAGAAACTGCATCACCTTCAGCAGGTAAACAGGGCTCCTAGGAAATCCCTAAATAAGGAAAGGGATGGCCACAATGGAATTAATCATGAAAACTAAATACAAGGGGAACATTTTCAACTTTCTACTGAAGATTAAAAGTGGCCAAATAAATGAGATGCCAATTATTAAATAGTTATTGAAGCCCAGTTGGTATTCACCCACAGTAAACCTCATGTATTTCTTACATGATTTTAAGAAGCCATACAAAATAAGATTAAATACAGAAAGAAAGCTGTTCACAATAAGATTAAACAAAGGAAGACTTGAAAATCAGGGTCTGAATATGCAGGAGGGGGAGCTCTCAAAAATCCATCTGTCTCTTGGCATACTGATTTTGCATGAAAAGTTGACCCATCCTTATTAGTTTCTGGATACTATTAACCCAGCAAATAGATTTTTCTTTTTTTCCCTCCTAATTTTTTTTTTCTCTCTAATTCTTTTTATGAGACAAAAAAAAGACTGTTGCATTGGTGTTAAACGTAACAACTCTACCAAGGCCAGATATGGCCCTAAAGAACATCAAGTAATCTTGCCTATTGTTTTTGCTAAACTGAAACTTTTTCAGGAATACACCACAAAGAACCAAAAGAAGAAAAAAGACGAAAAAAAAAAATTCACAAATAAAACCAGTAGCTAAGCTAATACTCCAGGAACAGCCACAGAGAAACCCATTTCAGCAACAATATAGACTATACAGATGTGTTAGAACTTTATCTGGGATGAAGACTGTTTATCCACTGTTGGACTTGCTAAAGAGAGTTTGGCATCAGCTATTTACCCTGACACATTCTTTATGAACTCTACACAGGAAAAGGAAGACAGAAGCAAGTGCATTACAGCTTACAAAATTCTTCAACTTGGCCAAAGTCAGGGAGAAAATGACAACAAACAAAAAATTCAGCTAGCTCAAAAAACTCACTAATATGACACTTGCATGCGTACATCTGTGTAAGAACAAGCATCAAAAAGCATGGAGAAATGCAATGACTGACACTAAACACCGTGATACTAATTATTTGAGAGAAATGGAGAACACATTTGACGAATATATTGTTTAGTTTCCAAAGTTTAAAAGGAAGTCTATATAGAAGGCAAAAACTGAGACCCAATTTAGTAAAACAACTAGCCGGGTATAAGTGACAGCAAGCTCCCGTGTCCTAGAAAACAAGTGTTACCTACACTGTGTATAGAGGATCAAATACTGTTCATTCCCTTACTTCTTGTATAATTTGCTTTTCAGATCCTAGGATTCAGAATCTCAAGGGATTCAGAAAGTTTTAACTCAAATTTTATAGGACCTAGGCTGTAAACTGGTAGAGACACTAACCACAAAACTGAGAGCAACTGCTTTTTTCCAACACAACTGCCAAGAAAGAAATCTTAATTTCTATGATAGTAGATTCACCCTTCAAGATGCCAGCAGATCCATACCCTCTGGGATTATAAACATGGCTCCTCATAATCTGATATTTCACCGTCTCTGTATGAGAAACACCATAATTTTTGACAGCTGAAATCATATATCCAGAAGTAATTTCCCTAAAATGGCCAACAAGTCTTTTTCAGTAAGATCATAAAATGCTTTACAAGAAAGGAAACAGCATACCCTTCATGCCTCACGTCCCAAAGAATGTTTCTTCTGCAGTAGCTGCCTGTCTGTGCTATTGCACAATCTATGAGAATTTACTGCCTTATGCAAGACTGGCACAAGGAATACTAATCAAGATTACTCAAACTGAATATACTCTAGAGTATATAAATAAATATAAATATTTATGAATAATCAAACTTCTTTTCACCCCAAAGCAAATTACCACTATATCACTAGAAAAATCTAAAAGTTAAATTTATGGACATGCAGTATCAATTTTTCCTGACAAGACTAGCTGTGTAAACTAAGTATTCCAAAAGGAAGAAAAAAAAATAAATCTCAAAAATCATACCTTAACTGACATTTTTATTTGACTGCTGGTAACATATTTCAAAAACATGAGACTTTGACACATTTGGGTTCTTTTCATTTGTAATTTCCTTGTGTTGCATTAACATGGTTATGCAGCACTATAAACTGCCACCTCTGGTGTTTGAAAGGAAGTTAAATGAGTCTCTAAATTGTATTCCCCTATTACAGCTCAAACACACACTGGGACTTTCAACCCCTCCTCCGCCAGTGGTAAGTGCTATAGAAAAGTTGTTCCAAAGTGCTATAGAAAACCAGGCTCTACTTTTCAACAGCCATGAAACCATGTCAGCAGCATTCCTCTCATGATTTCCTGTTTTTAAAAAAGGAAATAAAGAAGACCTAGGGAACTACAGGTCGGTCAGTCTCACCTCAGTGCCAGGCAAGATCATGGAGCAGATACTCCTAGAAACTATGCTAAGGCACATGGAAAACAAGAAGGTGACTGGTGACAACCAACATGGCTTCATCAAGGGCAAATCACGCCTGACCAATCTGGTGGCCTTTTATGATCAAAGGATGAGAAATTATAATGTACAATTAAGTTCAAGGCTAAGCTTGAAAAAAAGAAAGGGAAAACTATACTCCTATAGCGCAGTTCATTATTTAACAAGCAAATACTACTAGCTTGACTAATTGTTCTTTAAGATTCACATTTTCTCCTCCTTGACAGCAAAGTGGTATTAAGGCAGAGAATTTACTCATTTATGAGTAAAAGCATTTTTTAAAAAGCTTTGTTCTTATTCATTCATATCTTCATATCTCAAGAAATTATTTAAGAAATTAGTGTAGGATTGAGTTCACTCTCAGCAATTTTGCAGAAGACGTCAGGCTAAGTGTTAGAGTTGGTTGGCTTGAGAGAAGGGATGCCAGCCAGAGGGACCTTGACAGGCTTGAGAGGTGGGCCTGTGCTAAACTCATGAAGTTCAACAAGGCCAAATATAAAGTCCTGCACCTGGTTCGGGGCAATCCCAAACATAAATACAGCTAACAAAGTATGCTGTCTATGGTACTTTCCATGAGCTTCCTTTAAGCTCCTTTGAGATCATGCAAACCAAAAGCAGAAAAAGAGTATGACTACAATCTGGAGGCCTTTACCATTTCTAAAAGTATGAAACCAAGTAACAATTCCTCTCTTTCAATGAGGTGGGAAAAATACTCCCAGCAGCTGGTAAAGTTTTTATCCTTTTCACAGTAAATACATACAGGATTAATAAATGTTTTTAGGGAAAGGACAGGTGCACTAATTGTGCTCAATGCTCAAAAGCCATCAGCATAGCTATTTTCACCTTTTCAGTAAAATCATTGGAAACACCACTAATGAACCATTTCACTTAAAATCACAGGGTAGATGCACAAAGATGGATGTAGAACTGAAGCTGTATAAGCTTATAAGCTGCATAACTATACAAGCTTTACTTACACAGCCAAATCATACTACTGGTTACATCCTCTATATTTAGAGATTTCCTAATGCTGCCCCATGCAGCATCTTTTAGACTTTCAAAGCAGATTTCAGGAAATTATATATTTTAATTTATAGAAGAAATCCCAAAACAAAATCCTACTAACAGTTTCATTACAATTCTTCAGTAGTGTTTTTTCGGATGCTAAAAAAACTCCCCAATGTTTCACATTGACACAAAACTTCATGGCTGTCTTCCAAAAGGTTAGTTTTGTCCAACAATCTGTACAAGCTTTTTTCTCTTTAGACAGTTTCTCATTATTTCCTGACATTTGCCCTTCAGCACACAAGGTCTTTCAGACATATAGCTGTAAAGCATACCAAGATTCCATACCAAGATGGGGGGGTGGGGAGGGGGTGGAAAGTATTAGTCCACTCAGTTTCTCATTTTAGCTAGTATCATATATTATTTCCAAGACCAAAAGACATAAATAGTTATTCAATAAGCATTAAAAAAGTAAAAAAAAGTTGAGTCCACAGGGTCTTATGTCCCCAAGAGAAGAGTCACTGGAAATCAGCATTTGGTGGTTCCACACTGACCTACTTGTTATTTTGTGCAGGCTCAGTATTATCAGTTCCATAGTGTAAATGCCTGTAATATAAACTGACAAACCCCATAAAGATGTCGCTTTTCACATGCCTGATTATCTCACAAATGCAATTAAGAGCAGAAACTGCAATTTTTTGTTAATTCTAATATCTGCTCTCAAACAGTGTAATTTTCAATCCAGCCACCAAAGCACAGGAATTTTCTGCCTTCTCCCTGTGTTGTTTTGATATGTTTCTCTACATCTGTTACACAAATAAGTCTAAATACACAGAGGCCTATTCTTCCAGACTAAATCACTAATCCTGTGATTAACCTCAGAATAAGGTTTTATGCATATTTTTATGCTCACAAAACCATCATTTAGTGCAATGAAGATGCTGCTATTGTTCAGCACGATTTTCATGTTTGTTGTTTATTTTCTCTTATGCTGCTGTAAAAAAAACCCTGAACATATATAAACAAAAAAAAACTTAAAAAAAACTCTAAAGATCCAGAGTACCAAGATATTCTTCTCTTCCACCGTTCAGATTTTAATATTAAATAGTATGTTAAAGATAACCAGTGTCAAAGGATAAATTTTTTCCTTAACTAAACACAGTAAGATGTATTTTTGACACTGCAAAGACAATAGATCTTCTGAAAGAACAGAGAATTAATTTAAGGTTTTGCTTCCTGGTAATTGTACTATATATTTTGCATTCATATAGGCATTATGAGGAAAATTTTAATACAAAGAGCACAGAACATCAGTTGTTATCCCTTGAGATCCAGTTGCAGCATTCTGCATTTCCTTGTAACAGCAGAGGCTATCACTTGCACTTTAAACAGGATCTGATCCAAAGCCCATTAAAGAATTTCCATTGATTTCAACCAGGCTTGGACAGCAGCCATCGTGCAGGGAGAGCCATTCTTTGCATTCAAACAGCAGTAGCGGTATCAGCTATAATACTGATACCAGTTCTCATGATTCCTGAATCCTGTAGCATTTGTTTTTTCTCAAATCCCTTAGTTCATGCAAGCATCTCAAAAGCAAGGGAGAACATCCAGTGGCTAAGTTTCTATTCCTCATTTGCAAAGTGAGTCTTGAAAATACAATCCTTGGAACACAGCAGACAATTTCAAAATACTAAATATGGAACTCCAAAATTAGACTGCAATACCACTTCATGATTATACTTGAGAACTTGTGGTCAGCAACATGGGTGAAGTCAGCAATACTCTTGCCCTGAACTGAAGTCTTCACAGATGCAACTAAATAAATCACTTTAAAGTCTATCATTTGTGCATATTTTAATTTTTAAAAGGTTTTCAGCTAGTTATCCAAATCTTTCATTCAGCATATCATCTCATCCTTTATCTTAAAACAATCCTTGAAATAAAATTACAAAACTCTTTACTTGCATCTTACTTCTCTTCAGTTACTGCTGACACAGATGCCAAGCACTAATACTGACTAATACCATTTCATACACAACATTTAACGAATACTTATTCAAAAAAATGCACAAGGAATAAAACTATATTTCTATGAGCAAGAACTCATACCATCTGCAAATACCAGTATTTGCCTGGTTTCATCATTCTCAAACCAACCTGACCTTCAGAAGCATGGGAGTGCCACTCAATAATAAAAATCTTTCTTTTGTTTAAAGGTAGTATTGCCATTGAACAAGATTGGGCTCTCAGCCAGGTCTGTTTCAGACATCAAACAAAGATAAACAGGTCTGTATTTCTACATACCTAGTTGGCAGCTTCTCAAAGTCCACATCCAGAAACTGTTCATAGCTAGAAACAAAACTATCCAACCAGAGCTTCAGGTAATCTGGATCTTTCTGTAAAAAAGAAGAGGAGAACATTAGGCAGTATTGCACTCAAGGTCATCCATCAACAACTCTGTAATACTAACTTGAATGGAAAGCTTTTGAATGCATTTCAACAGGTAGAAAGGAGGGAATACACAGATTTTTTAGAAGTAAAATAAAACAAGCTGTGTCCTTTGAAATTCTCAGCCATGTTGTGCTGATGTGTCATTCTTGCTCTGTTCACTAGTTCATCCATTTCCACTTCCTGGTACTAATGCCAAGCAAAGCATTTTAACTTCTCCCCCTGCCAACAACATTTACTTACTCTCCAAAGTAATACACACCAGCTTCACAAAATTACTAGTACATTCTAGTCTTGATAGCATGGATATTAGTACACAACACTCTTTATGGCGTATAAAATTAAATAAGAACTCCAATGACAATCCTAATCACAAAATAATTTGCTTTGTGCTTCATTCATTGATCAATATGGCAGCTAACATCAGATTAGAGCCACATGAAGTGTTCCAAGAGATAATGCAGAGCCTGGGACTTGTACACTAGATATCTATAAAACAGATAGGCATTTAGACTTCCTAGTTGTTCTTAGTAGAGCACACAGACTCTGTCCATGACCAGCACTTCTCCAGGGTTGGGCACTGTGGCAGCAAGGAGGACAAATACTAGACCACCACAAACCAGCACAGGAAAATTCTGTCAAACTATGCTATTTGAGATGTGATTTCACTTTAGAAGTCAAGCTGCTTAATTTTCAAAATCAAGCTGCCAAAGCATAGCTGACATATACCACCACGAGGACTGTACAGTCACGTCCATTGATGAACATCCATGCAGTCCCACATTCTATGTTTAAACAATTTTCAAAATAACTTTAAAATATTTGCCTAAAGTATTATAGATTTTAAACAATTTCTAAATCTACTCCAGAATTTATAAAATTTTGCAAAAGTTTTAAAAACTTTTTTGCTCATTGTTCTCTTTTCTGTATCTCCTCCCTTTTACTTGTAGCCTTTATATTACCACAGACGTCCCTAAATAACAGATTATTTCCCTGCAGTGTTAAGACCAAGGAGTAACCTGTGCATAACTAACATACACCGTACTCTGGGCAATGTCAATGTAAAAGAAAGAGTTAACAAGAAAGACTGACACACAGACTCCTGCCAGTGCAAAATAACTACCTACAAAAGACCCTCCCAGGATTAAAAAAAAAACAAAACAACAAAAACAAACAACAAAAACCCCACACACACAACAGAATAACAAAAAAATTGAAATCCAGAATCTGAAGTGCTGCAAAACTCTTCTCATAGCATCTTTCCACAGCAAGTACAGGAGCTATAAAGCACGGGAATCCCCTTCTCATTCTAGACTTTACCCTTCCCTTACTCCCAAATACCCCTCTAACTCAATTAAGAAGAGTCAAAAACACCCAGACACACTTTACTTCACTATCACTATTAATTATGTATGAAATGTGTTCAGACACTGTGACAACAAGTGCCAAATAAAACCCCCAGTTAGATGCATATCTTGTCTGATTATTTGCTTCCACTGCAATATCTTGTTCATTTTTCCTAATTGTCTTATTTTCCCTTCTTCCACTTCATTCCTAGTCTCCCCCTCCTTCATAATCACTCTTCTCATTTCTGTTTATTCCCCTTTCAATGGTTTTCTTTTTTAAGTCATCACCCCTTTCTTTTTCTGTTAAAAATTTGTCAAAAAAATATTATGTCTGTAAGTTATCTTAAACACACACCTATTAATTGTCCTTGAGATGAAATTGCAACATACAGAATGAAGGTAGCCATTGAGATAAAGAATAAATTCAAGGTTTCCAAGCTACTGGTTTAAGCTACAGAAATTGAGATATTATCTCAACCAGGTGAGTACAAAATACACATTTCAGAGATCAAACACCTTAAAAATCAAAGGAAAAGATGGGCAAGAAGTAAGACTTGCCAATATCCTAAAAGAATGAGCTAGAAGTAGCAGAAGATGTTATCTTCAGACATTCTAGCTTTTTAAAAACACTTGTGTATTTGAAGCTTTAACTTTCTTGTAATTCACAGCAACTTATTTTAGCCATGTGCAAGCTATTTTACAGGATCATAGAGATGAGGAAAACCAGGATATAATTTTAGAAACTACAATACAGTTCAGGCTACAAAAGACAAAGCAATAGCATCCATGGCGAAGTAACCAACAGAAACAGAAATTTTACACCGTATGCACGTGTCTGTGCCTCTAATGATAACGCTCATGCATGTGCAAAAACAGAACCTATTTGACTTTTTTCCCCCTGTTGAACTAACTGCTTTGTTTTTTCTTGGCATAAGCAAGTTCTCCTTGAAATATAACATGAATGACTACATTGATTCTATTTGTATTCTAAAATTAAAATTGTTTGTTGACAAAGCTGAGGCTCATCACTAGTTGTTGACAGTAAACTTCTGTAAGAAAACTCGGGTTTTTTGTCATGCATCATGAAGGAAGCTGTGCAAATAAAGTCACTATCTGACTTAATTAAAATTGCTTTAATAAAAGCCTATGGGTGAGGGAAGGGGAAGAGGAGGACAAAAGACAAAATTAGATTAAATGTCTGCTTCCTCCTTTTTAATGATACAGCCTAAATCAGCTTCAAGCTTAAGATTAAATTAAACCTCCTTATCCTTACCTATAATGCCTTTGCAAGGCTATCAGCACAGACTAGCAGTAAGAGAGAACATTGGCATACTAAATATGCAAGAAAAAGTAATTATGTAGATGACAGTAGTACACCACAGATGTTATAGAAGGCCAGAAGTTTTTGCTCGCCTGTAGTGCACATACTGCTTAATTCATTTTGCCACTAAAACTCCTCCCAATTCTGGTATGAACCAAGAACTGAAGTACTGTTTGATCATTACCCGCAGCACACACTTTAACCCAACTCCCTTCTACCTCAGTCCCTTGCCAGCCCGTTAATTATAAATTATTCTGGGTTACTAAAATAACCAGCTTTGATATCAAAATACCAGGTAACACCACTGGTATGTGTCAGTAGAACACAGCTCATACAATAGTTGACTTGTTCTGAGTAAAATCTAGAGATTTCCATCCCAGCAACAGCATTAACTCACCATCACTTGGGCAAAATAAATAAATAAATAAATAAATAAAAATTATCAAGGCAAAAAAGTAAACAATATCACTTAGCAACTGAATCTACATAAGAAACACTAAGAAATAAATCTCCATTATAAACCGCCTAATAGAAGTAAGCCACCTTTCCAGAAACAAACAAAAATGAAAACTCGGGAACTAGGAATCCATCATTCCAGCAAAACATGATCCAATATTTAACAGTTTTGCTACAAATTAAGACATATAAATTATTTTAAAGATTTTAGAAACAAAAGTTAAAAACAGCTTTCAAACTTTCAATCTGGCCCAGGTTTTCCTTTTTCTTTATTAGCAGCAATCAATCCAGATCCCATGCACCAGTCACTTGTTGAAAGCTGCAAGAATCTAAAATTTACCAAAGCAGTTTTAAGAAAGGAAACTTACAATGGTCAATGTCACCCGTGGCAAAACACACAAAAACTCCTGAAGTACTCCTACAACATAGCTAAATATATACCTTTCTGAAGACGAGCCGACACGTTTCAAATGCATCTTATATTTTCCCAAACCAGAAGTGTGATGGTTTTGTCTTCTTACACTGGTTTAAAATCTCAATTTCATATTAAAAACAGCAGTAATGGGTATCAGCTGTGCACCATACACACTGCAATTATCCTACCCTGTACCTTCTTTAGGTCAAACTGAACTTATTTTTTTTTTTTTTTTTTTTTCTTCAGATCAGCATCTTAAATACTCAGAAGCCTTATTACGAGTAAAAGCAGTGAAACCTTCGGAAGATTCTCTTATTCCCCACTTCCATAATTACCCTTTGCTGTCATTCTGCAGACAGGTAGCTGGAGGCTATACATCAGACAACAGCTCCAAATTGTTTTCATTGGTGCTGGCTGAAGATGCAGCATGCTTTTAAAGCACAGCTTACAAAGCAACATATATTTTGATAATACTCCACAAGGACAAACAGTTATAAACTAATTTTAGATTGGTATTCTTTCCCAGCCCTGCCACACACGCTCTGCAGACACGCTTTATGAGATCAGCAAGAAACGCAGAAGGAAATTTTTGACTTGTTCAACAGCAGTAAAAGCAGAAAAGAAGCTGCATTTGGTAGTAAAGCACCTTTAAATCATTAAAACTTTACAATCACTAGAAGATAAGAAAACAATTTTAGAAACCTTGTAGCTTTCTAAGTCACAACCATTTCATTTATTTACCTGAAATCCGCCTAGCTTTTGTGCAAGACAAATTTCTATATCTTATTTGAATAATAATTCATATATGAAAACTGCATGTTTTAAAACTTATGGAAGATAATTTCTCCAAGGCTTGAAATCCAACTTAAGTTACCCATTTCTCTTCATAATGACAAACTGAAACAAGCAGAGTTTTAACAAGGGTATCTTAAGGTTATGAGTAAAAAGCCCTTCAGCTGATAATTATGAAGCAAGCCACAAATCTGCAGAACCTAAGCTTAGGCTTCTGAGCTCCACATATTGTAATGAACGGCTCCGAAACTGCTATAGCAACAATCAGTCATTCATCTGCAGTAATAAAAAAAAGTATTCTAAGCCTATTAAACCAAATGTAGCTCAGAGCACCTGAAAGTGAAAGTACTTCCTTGTCCCTTCCCTTCCTTAAATACTTCTGGTTTTCTTATAAGAGAAAACAAAACCAGCAAAACAACACAGCAACACACTACCCTTGAGGCTTCCATTTTCCTAAGATCCTCTCAGAACAATAATAGCTGTCATAACTTTTTACACTTTAAAAAGAAAGGCTGCCAAGCTTGCGCAGGATAGTGTTTCTAACAGCTACCTAAAAAACCCTAAACCAAAACAACAACAAAAAAACCCCACCAAACCTCCCCCCACAAAAAACACATC